GCACATGTTATTATCTGATTAACCGTAAACACATATCACAATATGGTGAATTAGAATTTTGCTTACGTGTCGCGTTCTTATCGTGCGCATACTTTTTTATATAATATAAGATAAGGATCAAAATTCCATCTTTGGTTTCCATAAGGCGAATGGCAGTACGCATTCTTCAACTAACGTGTTATGAACTAATTCACTCATTTTTCTCTTATGTAAAGACCAGTCCACTTTTAAATGATAGTAACCTATAATTATCTTTATCTTAGTCATTTATTAGACTCTACTTTATAATTAACATAATTGTAGATCTCGAAATTGATTTACAAGCCAAAAATATTTTGATTCCAAAGGACCTTTTGATCCTAGATTCCGACAACTCACAAGTTGAGACTCTTGACAAAGGCAAAGTGAGTTACCCAAAGAAACCAAAACAAGTGACGTAAGCAAAGACGTCAGGATCCATTTCTCAAATGATCCCATAATAATTCCAAGCTTCCGCGTTGAGAAATAATCTTTATAAATATCATGCGGAAACTCCTACGACCCATTCAACACGACAAGGAGAAATAGATTTTCTTCTCTTAAATTTTTCTCAAATTTGTAAGAACATTTCATTTTCTTTTCAACCAAAGCCAAATATGGGTAGTAATGCTCATCATAAGCTCCATGTTGTGTTCTTCCCTTTCATGGCTCATGGCCACATGATCCCAACTCTAGACATGGCTAAGCTCTTTGCGACCAAAGGAGCTAAATCCACAATCCTCACGACACCTCTCAACTCCAAGATTCTCCAAAAACCCATCGACGCATTCAAGAAACTGAATCCGACTCTCGAAATCGACATCGAGATCTTCGATTTCCCTTGCGTGCAGCTAGGGTTGCCGGAAGGATGCGAAAACGTCGATTTCTTCACTTTAAACAACAATGATGATGGAGGCTACATGATCTTCAAATTTTTAATGGCGACAAGGTTTTTCAAAGACCAGCTTGAGAAACTCCTCGAGGCAACGAGACCGGACTGTCTAATCGCCGACATGTTCTTCCCGTGGGCTACTGAAGCTTCTCAAAAGTCCCATGTTCCAAGACTTGTGTTCCACGGCACTGGATACTTCTCTTTATGCGTTGGTCATTGCATCAGAGTGCATAAGCCACAAAACCGAGTAGCTTCGAGTTGTGAGCCATTTGTGATCCCTGATCTCCCTGGGGATATTGTCCTAACTCAAGAACAGATCGTAGATGGCGACAACGAAACCGAGATGGGAAAGTTTATGATTGAGGTGAGACAATCAGAAGTGGAGAGCTCAGGTGTTATTGTGAACAGTTTCTACGAGCTTGAACCTGCTTATGCCGATTTTTACAAGAGATTTGTAGCGAAAAGAGCGTGGCATATCGGTCCGCTCTCTGTTGTAAACAGAGAATTACAAGAGAAGGCTGAGAGAGGAAAGAAAGCGAGCATTGATGAAGTCGAATGCCTCAAATGGCTTGACTCCAAGAAACCAGATTCAGTCATTTACATTTCATTTGGGAGCGTGGCTTCCTTCAAGAACGAGCAGCTAATCGAGATCGCTGCGGGATTGGAAGCATCTGGCACAAACTTCATTTGGGTTGTTAGGAAAAACAAAGGTATTGAAATTGAGTTTGAAATAATATCATTGTACGTTTTAGGGTTGCTCTGTTTCGGTCTAAAATGGGTTTGGTATGAACAGGTGACAAAGATGAATGGTTACCAGAAGGAATGGAAGAGAGGACGAAAGGGAAAGGGATGATAATAAGAGGATGGGCTCCACAAGTGCTGATACTTGACCACCAAGCAACCGGTGGGTTCGTGACCCATTGCGGTTGGAACTCGCTTCTCGAAGGAGTGGCTGCAGGGCTACCGTTGGTGACTTGGCCGATTGGAGCGGAACAATTCTACAACGAGAAATTGGTAACACAAGTGCTCAGAACGGGAGTGAGCGTGGGAGCAACAAAGCATATGAGATTTAAGGGAGATTTCATTAGTAGAGAGAAAGTAGAAAAGGCGGTGAGAGAGGTGTTTGTTGGGGAAGAGGCCGAGGAGAGGCGTAGACGGGCTAAGAAACTGGCGGAGATGGCGAAAGCCGCGGTGGAAGAAGGAGGGTCTTCTTTTAACGATCTAAACAGCTTCATAGAAGAGTTTAGCTCATAATTCTTGTATAACTTAACTTATTTATATGGTAAGACGATTTACTTTTAT